ATAATTTGATGAAATCATTAGGTGGTATGTATGTTACACTGTCTACCTCAACTCAATAATTTATCTGAATTATGACTAGGTTAGAGTTAAGGCGTGTTACAAGTCTATGTAGTCCTTTGAATGTTAAGCTTAACTTTATAAGGAAGGTGTATGCTAACTGGTTAGCGTATTCATGTTATCAGAAGTCATTAGTTAACGCAAGTTGGAAATATGGACCATTAGATTCTGCCGAGCCAAGTGGCTCAATGGTAACATGCTGGCCATGGAACCTGATAGGTCGCGGGTTCGATCCCTGGCGGGGGTCATGGGTGCGCACTGCTGAGGAGGAGTCCCATACTAGGACGAGACAGTTAGCTATCCAGTTCACCCAGATTTCATTTGTTCCTCTAACTGATGTCAGTCTACGATGAATGACAACTCGAAACATTAGTTAGTATTTTTGATAATATAACTGAAAATCGATTACAATAGCGCGGATTTGTTTAGCATGTATGATTATCAATTTTTTGAGTATTTTATTATTTATACTTTGGTAAAGTTTACCGTCTTCAAGCAGTATATTCCTGTGTAAAGTTCTACACGTTTACTTATTTGCATGCTTTTTTCTTGCTTTTACATTTCAACACTAATTATTTCCAAATAAAATTGTCCAGTTTTCTTGAAATGGAACTCGTCGAAAAGTTGTTTGTGTTTTTTCCATTACGCTAAAGTTTGTCGTTTTTATCATGATGAGTATATATTCTGATTTCTTTTGAAATATGAATTATATTCTTGATTTCGCAAGTATTTTAATGATTTATGACTTGTATTTATCATCAATATCAACATAGGACCAGGCATTACTGCGTAACGGTCCGAGTTGCCACAGCTCATATCACTACATCAAGTAGAAAGGCAGCGAAGTACAAGATGAAGATAAGAGAATGCAGTCAGAAGAAATATAAAGTACGAGAAGAAAGGAAGGAGGAATGAGAAAATGGTGAGATCCGGTATAGCGTCGTTAACATAAGGATAATGTGTGTGGGGATATATCTGCCCCACTGACATCGGTTCTCAGCCATATCACCTAGAGTTAGTCTCCAACCACTGGTTACTCTTGTCCCGCGGACCCCAATCACCTAGTCTGCATCGCCCCACATGGCTCAAACCAACAGTCAGAGAATTCATACATTGGTGCCATGTTTTAGTCTGGTCTTGTTGGTTGTCTTATATAATAATTTAAAAAAAAAATTAAAATAGTTGTCTCACCAAAATGATTTTTTATAGGATAAAAACTTTACTAAAAACTATACCGTAAAGTTTTTTTTCGATACATATCTAAAAAATCGAAATTAGAGATAATCATGAGGTTTTGTTACGCAATACACATGGTATAATATAACATAATAATAATCATGGCTTTATTCCGAAAGTTATTTCAGGAATACTGTACAGAATTTTTAGAACGTCATATAGCATCATTTGGAAAGAAACACTTTATAAGTATTAAGTATAATTGGTTTTATATCATACCGTCGTTGATTGAACCGAATTGATCGGTCTCTATTGGCATATGAGCTCCTGTGCGGATGCCTCAATATTGCCTGCGTTCTAATTGACTATCATGGCTCGGTGGTGTAGTGGATAACGCTTTGGCTTTTGAAGTGATTGCTCCCGAGTCCGAATCTCGGGAACAGCATCACTCACTTAGAAGAAGGTACATCCAGCTGACGAGTCCTAAATAGGACGAAATGTGCATCCTGGATCCCACTGCTAGCCACGATCCATCATTAATATAATTAGAACGCAGGCAATATCGAGGCATCCGTACAAGAGCCTATCTGCCAATAGAGACCGATCAATTCAGTTCAATCAACGACGGTATGATATAAAAACAATTATACTAAAAACTATACCTGTCGCACAAGAAGTAGCTATCGTGGCCTAGTGGTGTAGCGGATAACGACCTGGCGTTTGAAGCGATCGCTCCCGATTCCGAATCGCTGTGGGAACAACACAACTCGCTTGGAAGTAGATACACCAGCTGACGAGTCCGAAATGGGACGAAATGGTCATCCTGGATTCCAATGCTAACCATGATCCATCATTAACTTTATAAATATACATAATAAAATGAGGTAATATTTACTTCATTTACAACTTTTTTGAGAATGTAGAATTAAGTTAGATGAATAATCACATTGGCGATTCGATTCATAATGGATAAACAACACGGATCGGTGTAATCTTTAATTAGTTTACTTTAAAAAGCAGAAGTTGGTTAGTTAATTCATTTCTGACACTTACTTCATTGCACAGGATATGAGCTAACTATGGTATTGTAGGGTTTTCATATTTAACAGTATTTGCATTTCGTCTTAAATACTTGCTCTTCGTCTTACCTGACGACCGACACGTAGAGAGTTTTGAGTGAAGAGAATACTGATCATCTCATAAAATAGATCAGTTATAAGTTTTTAGGTTGGAATTTATCATGTACCGACATTGTAAAACTGGATAACTGTCTCGTCCTAGTATGCGACTGACTCCTTGCCCCTTCTAGGGATCGAACCCGGGACCTTCAGGTTCTGCGGCTAGCACGTTACCATTAAGACATTGGGTCAGCGGAATCAAATGCTTCATATTTCTTACTTTCTTACTTCCAATGTCGTCGTTGATTAACTGTCCTCATGTTCCACTTGGTTGACTCTACTGGTCATGACTTCTCATTCGAACTTTGGGATTCATCTCTCGAAGCTAGATACCAATGAGCGCTAGATTAATTCTATCTGGAGGTTTGTGGAGGTTTATTAATTGATTTTAGGACGAAATGGATGTCCAGTGCTCCCGAATTTCCAATGTGCCTCCAACTGATGTCAGTTGTCATGAATTCCGACCTAAAGTCAATTAATAAACCCACAATTCTCCAGATAGAATTAATCTAGCGCTCATTGGTGACTAACTTTGAGAGGTGATTCCCGAGGTTCCAATGAGAATTCATGAACGTGAAGACAAATACTCAACGATTAAATTTGATGTAGGTTGCGCTATATCATGAAGTGACAGAAGTGCGAAATGTGGACCATTTGATTCCGCCAACCCAGTGGCTCAATGGTAACGTGACGGCCACAGAACCTAAAGGTCCTCGGTTTGGTCCTTAGCGGGGCGGGGTCATGGGTGTGCACTGCTGAGGAGTCACACCCATACTTGGAAGAAACAGCTGTCCAGTGCTCCCAGGTTTCCTTTGTTACTCCAACTGATGTCATTCCATGGTGAATTCCAACCTAAAATCAATTGATAAGCCTCCAGGTAGAATATACCAATTTTAGGGCAATTATAAGGATTAGAGGTATACCACTAATCCTACTGGAAATCTTCAAGGATGTACACGATACAACGTAGTCTTCTTTCAGGAATATAGGAAAGAATTAAGGGGGAGCAATTAAGGAGAATAGGCAAGATGTAGGAGTTTATAAAACACTAGGTTGAGTTATAGAAGATATTCTTTAGCTTTTGTAAGGTGATAGAAATTGTCGAAACATTTAGAACCAATCATATTTTGGGGAAATTCCTACAAAGTCACTTGATCGAATCTTTAGTTGTTTGACTAGGTAACCTAAGAAAACATTGACACGATTCTCTGAAATACTTTAAAAACACTAAGGCTATTTATAAGAGGGGATTAGTGTGTGCAAGAAACCTTTCTTTTTTCTAGAGATCATTTAATCATTATAAGTCAAGTCTGAAGAGCTTCATACATAGATAAACTACTTTATTTTTTTCCCTCGGGTTCCTAGGGAAATATACGGCTTCAGTAGCACATCGCCATTTCAATCTCTTCTCTCCAGTCCTTCCCACCTGGCTCCATAACTACTCAGAAGCTTTCATTTATTCCTCATACGATCTTCTCCATGTCACCCCTGAACGCCCAATTCTTCGTTTTGTATTTGGATTCCACTTGAGGGCCTGACGCGTGATGTCACCAAACCGTCTTTTCAGTGTATGGCCAGTCCATCTCCACTTTCTTCTGGATATTTGTTGGGTGATAGGTTCTTGCTTAGGGGGTTCGTTACAGCCAGCCAGAGTTCCTTGTTCCTTATTCTTATTATTCTGGCCATCTGATCTCTCTCTATCTTCAGTATCGAATGAGTGAGCGTAGACAGCAGCTGTTGATGTGATGTATGTGTGCAGTTTGTTGGAAATGCTTTTCGTAAGGTTACCAAGTTTCCCAACCATGACATAGAAGCACTGACTGACTTGACTGAATTAGTGCTGAAAATCCGGATGTTGTTCACACTTTATGCTGAGTGGAGTGGAGCGCAGCAGATCTCCACATTGATTTCAGATTGATGAAGTCCTGTTTTGCTGTCTTTGGGATATTGGCTTTGACGTCCTCATCTGTGCCTGTACCGCCTTTAGTTGAAACTATGCTGCCCTGGTAGGTGTAGGTCAAAGAGATAGCTTGGTTTTGATTTTTGCCATTGATGGTGATTGGTGCTTGTTGTTGGTTGTGTATCTTCGTCACCTCTGGCTTCTCACGTTCACCTTAAGGAAGTCATGTCTTCCTTCGCTGTCTCATCTTGTCTCGCCTCTTCTGTCAACTTGTTAGTTTTTTCCTGTAGGTCTTTGACTTTGTGCGAAAGCATATGCGGATTAATGCACTAGGCAATGGCCTACAGCTGTTGTATATAGTCTGATGAATGTGCTTGTCTGCTGAAACCTCAGTAGGTGGCATGATGGCTGGAAAAAGCGACTATTTGACTGAAATTAAACTGCCTAAAGCAATAAGCTGCAGAATTTTCTGCTGATCTATGAGTGACACTTGATTGTGTTTTTCGAAGCTAGTAGGATTGTTTGTTTTATACTCATGTGACATATTTGTGCTTTTTATGGTTATCTTTATTGTTTTGTCAACCCACAGTTTAATACGATTGGTGTAACTCTTTGAATATATCTAGATGTTTTATTTTGTCTTCATACATTTATCATAGCATTTTTCTCCTGGTTTTACTTTATTTTAGCTTGGAATGGTCACATTATCCTTATTTCGTACAATATTAAGCTTTCATTGTGAAGATGTTATGTATGAATTAATATTTAAGTAAGTTGAATACAGTTTCATTCCATTTTCTCCCTTAATATAAAGCATTAAATGATGGTATCTTTTATATAAACATTTCTAAGTTTTGTGAGTTGCCTTTGGATTATGTAACTAGGTTTTGTTATTGTACCCAGTTGGTAACGTTTAATTTCTATTCCACTCTAATCCTCAAGTGATATTTACCCAGTTATTCATCGTTGTACTAGTTGTCAGACAGACACAGAACCTCACACACACAAATGGATCGGTTCAGGTTGGCACACTTCATTTCATAGTAGTATACAAAAAGCAGATAGATTTCGTCAGCAACCAACTGTCTTACTGATGCAACTACTCTGGTAAGTGAATGGGTAGGAGCAGTCTAGACTTTAGTGCACACTAATCATAAAGCATAATGTTACATTTCATAGGTGCTGAACATATGCCAAAAATACTCAGATTTCTATTCAACGCATTCGCATTCCAAACTGGACAAAGGAAACGATTAATCGGTTTTTAATTAGATCGTTTAAACTTGTGTTAATAGATTTATAGATCACTAAAAGTACAGGGATAATATTTAGCGCTGATGGGTAACATTAGTCGCGTCACGATTCAATTCCTGCCAAATAGGATACATTTGCCTCATCATGTATGTAAGAACTTGATTTACTCTGATATTGATCTTGAGAGTGATGCCATGACTACATTATGATGATGAGAAGTTCTGGCATGCTACGATACAGCTACATGGTTTTTGATATTAAGATAACTAATCCCTCAAGTACAGATTCATGCACTCTTTTGAAGATGTATATTGTTTAGAGATCTGAGATATCAACAGATAGATGTACCATTCAACTTGGAATCTTTCTCACAAGTCCATAAATCCAAGATGAAGTGAATGTTAAAAGAATCCTATTGAAGTGGACAGAAGTATTTAAAGGAAGAGATAGAATAAATGAATGAATAATTTCGAAGATGTTAAAGAGGGCATACATCGAATCGTTTTCAAAGGCTGCAGAACTAGGAGAAAAAATAAAGATGATGTAGTATTGTTAATTGGGAGACGTGAAGGAAGGCTGGAACGTGGTGAAAGGGTAGCTGGATAGCAGTCTGAGGAAACTTGAGTGATGACAGAGTTGTGAGGGCGATTGATACTTCCCGGTTGCCCACACCGTAGAAGGCTATTTCTTCTTAAAATACCTGGAAGAGATTTGTGTGACCACAGAGCCTGTCAAACTTAGCCTTTTGTGTATGATTATTTTGAACTTTTGTATTTTTGTGGCCGGATGGTCGAAAAGAAACGACAAATGAACCAACACCGCCGGCCCGGCAGACCGTGAAGCATGGTGGAGTGTGTTATTTTTGGGGCCGACCTTTTCTAACCCCCCTTCCACTGAGAAGTCAGCATCAGTATGGCACTGCTGAGTCATCCAAAGGAAACATCTTACTGCTGTCACACCCCATCCAGCTAGCAGCAATACGACTTCGCCCTCAGACCCCAATCATAGTGTAGTAATTTACACCAAAACGGTAACTGTTTTTCGTCCAACCACTATCCAACAGACCTTTCTGGTATGGTAGGACCTCGAGGGAACAAGTATTCCACTAGCATAGTTCGTCGGGTCATTGTAATATGCAAGCCCGACCACCACATCAAGGTATCAGCTATCGGTCAGGGCATACATCTAATAGCTGTCTGTTTAACCACACTATATAGAATAGATCTTAAACTTACGATTCAATCGTTGTAATCTGTAGGCTTCAATCGCTGAACCACATATCGACATAGATTGCCATTGCTTAACCATGTATACATTTACACTTAAAATCGATTTTAGCCTAAACAGTCATATGGTAATGTATAACTCGCACTGAATCTACCTTATGTATTGGTTTATTTGTCATTAAAATTAAGACATTGCTTATTGGCACCAGTTTTCAAATCTTTAACAATTGTATCTTGGCATCTAACGCATTCATCCAACTTTAGTAATAGACTCAACCAATCATCTGACAGAAAGTGCACTTTTTACTTTACTATTCAATGCTATGCCTTTACCTGAAAGACCTCGAGAACTTGCCATTGCATTTTCAGAAACTTGAAGGATGAATTTTTCGGATTCTCTGTATTGACTGGATGAAGTTAAACGAATAGCCGCAGTTGTATTCTGTATGCGTTTCTCACAAACACAGCATACATCCATGACCTGAGTTGATAGAGCTTTGGCTAGTGAAGCTTGTTGACCGACATTCAAAACTTCATTGTAGAATTTAGAGCGTGGTTTCAAGATACCTAGGATGCTATTCTACGAAAACAAATATGTGAAGGAAGATTAGAGTTTAAGGATGTTGGAGGTAGACAGTAATCAGATGGAACTTGAAGACTGATTGAGTTGTGAAGGAAGTCGAGACGTTTCTGCTGCCCACACCGTAGAAGGCTACGTCTTCTGAGGTACTTGGAAAAAGAGGGTTGGTGCGTGATCACAGAGTAGAAGGGACATCTGCTTGAGGCTGGGTCACACATGCTTTTTCTACAAGTTTAAAATTTAGATCTGTTGCGTTTGCATCCGACTGTAAACCTGTAACGCTAGCACCGGTATACCATGGGGTAAAGAAGAGCTTGACTTTTTCTAAGCTCGTCTTCCAATATGGAAGGCAGCATCAGAGTGGGATTGCTGGTCATCCAAGAGAAACATTTTACTGCTGTCACACTCCATCCAGCTAGTAGCATTACGACTTCTCTCTCAGCAATTTACGCTACAACGGTAACTGCTTTTTGTTCTACCGCTATCCAAATGACCTAACGAAACGCAATTATATGTTAGCCTATGTAGTGAAGAATCATGTTCGTGTTAGGATCTGCCTACAAATAAGAAAATGAAGTCGATCATAGGAAGTAGACTAGTAACTAGAAACACCAGTTAACAGGGTAGATCAATTTGCCAATGATCCACAAATTACACGAATCAGGTAGACACTTTTCATAGCTAATTCATGCTATTTTTGAGGTTATAACCTGTATAGTTCAATATTACAGTCAAAAACATTTTTTTAAATCAATTTATGTTTGTTTAGCTATCATCATGGCAACTCAAATGTCTGTAATTCTTATTATACTGTCATCAGAGAATCACCTTAATTTCCAAATGGTAACCAGTTATTGTTACCTGCTACACAAATGAAATGACAGCTTAGGTGATGCTGTTCAGACTGTTACAATGTCCAATCGGCAAGTAAAACTAATCAGGCGTCTAACTTTACACTTATCACTCAGTAATTTTAAAATCAATCAAGTTGTATATTTATCTTGGATTTTTAGCCGTAAAATGTTTCCATTTTATTTTGATATGATCAGATTTTACAATTCATTCATTCATTCATTACTTTTAGTAAAATTCCACGGTAGCATTGAATATTGAGGAATAATAATTTTGTTCTTATTTTTATATATCGTTTATGCTTTGAAGTTTCTTTAGCGGTTAGATTTGTTTTGCGGGGTAGGGTTGCTAGCCCTGTGCCCAACCTTCCCTCTTTACCTGGGCTTAGGACCGTCTAGTAACTAGTGAACTAGTTAACCAGGCGAGGTGGTGGACTGGACCATGCAGCAAACTGTGAGGACCGAGGAGAGGGGGATACGCTGGACAGCGGAAAAGAACCTAGAAGATTTGGATTTCCCCCATGACTTGTGTCTGGTGTCTTGTGGTACAAACTTGAAGATCTACAGGCGAAAACTAACAAGTTGACAGAAGAGGCAGAGCAGGGCAGGGCAGCGAAGGCGGGGCTTTAAGTGAACGTAGAGAAGACAGAGGTGATGAAGATACCCAACCAACCCATCACCACCACCACCAACAACAACATTAACAAGCTCCAATCACCATGAACGGGAGAAACTTAAAGGAAGTAACCTCCTTCACCTATCTAGGCAGCACTGTTCCAACTACAGGCGGCACAAGCACAGACGAGGATGTCAAAGCTAGCCAGGATCGGAAAGCCAGTAAGACCGACGTTGATTAGCCTGAAACCTGTGTGGAGATCTTCTGCACTCAGCATAAAGCGTAAACAGGATCCGGATTTTGAACACCAATGCCAGTGAAGTGAGTGCTTCTGTGTGATGGTTAAGAGACTTGGCGCGTTACGAAAGGGATTTCCAACAAACTACAGACATTCACCAACAACTGCCTACACTAGCTCGTTACTGAGGATCAGATGGCGAGAATACTAAGAATGAGGAACAAGGAACTCTGGGGGCTGGCTGGCTGGTAACGAACCAACCACCACCAACGAAGCAAGAACCTATCGTTGAACAAATATGCAGAAGCAGGAATTGGAGATGGATTGAGGATGCACTGAGAAGACCATTTGGAGACATGACGTTCCAGGCCAGGCCAGTCCGTGGAGTGGAACCGACATTGTAAGCGACGAGTTGGGCCTCGCAGCTGAGGGTGATATGGAGGAGATGGTGTGAGGAGGAAATGAGAGTTTGTTGGCTATCGTGGAACCAGGTTGAAAAGTTTGCAGAGAAGAGAGTGGAATGGAGACGTGGTAGTGAAGCCCTATGTTCCATTAGGAACCCAAGGGATAAATAATAATATATAATCGAATATTGAACATTGTAGCTACTCGTTAAATATGAGTCTATATATATATATATATATATATATATATATATATATATATATATATATCACATGTTTTTGAATCAATGGTGTTTCGAAAGAGATGAATGTTACACTAAATTATATTTTTGGTTAGATAGTTGATAATGACATTCGATCGTCTCAATCTAATTGTTTCACTTAATCTTCCTATTTTAATTCATATGATCAATTTTATAATTGTTTAATATTAAACAAAACGCAATTGATTGTTTTGTTATATGCAAATCATTGCTGTGGTTTTTTTGGCTGTCAAATAGTGTAAAGCTATATCAATTCTAATAGGTGGATATGTAGGAGAGCATAAACGTTATATTTTCTATTGAAGTGGTATGAACAAGGAGAATTACCGATGTTGAA